TTGTCAGGAGGACGGGGGGGGGGTGGTAGGTGTTTGCATGTTGCTTTTTCAGACTCAGTTCTCAGATTTTTTTTCTCTAAAAGAGACAAGGATTTTCCATCACCCAAAAGGCCATCAAGTTTTAAGATTGCAAGGCACGACTTCTAATCGCATCCTCCGCGGAAAAGTACAAACAGTTCCTCAGACGAGGTCCCCCACCTCCCACGCACTCCCCAGCTGGCCCTCCCCGCGGAGAGCCCCGACTGCCTCCCCAACACCTGTGAATCATCCAGAGGCTGCACCAAGGTACCGCCCCCCGCCCCCCCTTCGGCGCCTAACGCACAGCAAAGGAAGACAGGACTATGTTTTGTGGTTATTCCTCCTATCTCTCATCTGGCCAGCTAAAGTAGCCTTTCTTGCTCATGCCGAGACCTGCGCCTCAAAGGGTCAAGCACTACTGGTATCCCGGGTTTGCAAACTGAATGAAGAGCCAGAATTTTGTTTCGTACTAGCTACCCTAAAACTCAAAGCCCTCCACCTTCTGTAGAGCTCTCTGGACCGTCCTCTGAGGCTTGCACGTACCTCTGGCGACTATTCCTAAGAAACCCCCACATCACCCCAGGCCCAGACTGCAAAATCAACCGGAAACAGCGTCATCTGTTTAGCCTTGGGCAAACAATTCTCAACTCTAAGCCCTGAGTGCTGCTTGCTCAGCCTGATTGGCTTAACTACCCTTTCCTCTTCCTTTACCCAACTCATCTGATTTCCCGGGGATAACTGGTCTGACGTACTTTAAAGTATGAGTCTCCCTTCCCAACTGACCATATTAAATGATAATTCCAAGCCTTCCATGCTGCTTTGATAAAAAAAAAAAATCGCTCATAAAAATAGCAACCCACGTAGCCTGGCGATTAAAGGAGCTGGTGAGGGTGAACAGAGATGCCTTTTAGGACCAGACCCTGCTCTGGAAAAAACAGATCACTACTGAAATTTGCCCCCACCCCTCACACCATCCTCCTCCTCTGCCTTCCTCTTCCCTCAGAGACAGGTCAGCAGGGGGACATTTTACATATACATATGTATGGATTTTCATTATGCAAAATTATGCATATATATAGACATATGATACATATATTTGCATATGTATGCACACAAAAGAAAAGCATAGGCCATCAGAAAAAGAGTAGCAGGATAGACGTGTTTGCCCAAGACCTCGTTAAAATGGAGTCATAAGAATCACCCCACTTGGATGTTTTTAAAAGGCTGAAATACAAAGGTTTGCAGCAAAGCGCACAGGGAGCTGAGTCAAGCGCTCCGCATCTCCTGGCTCCTCCCCTGCCGCCCCCAGCCACCGTCCTCCCTCCGCCCCCCTCCCTCAACACACTTCCTCCCCGCCCCTCAAGGAGACAGCTATTAAAAGCTGCTGACGTCAAAGGAACGGCCATCTTTGATGAGGGCAGAGCTCACGTTGCATTGAAGACGAAACCTCGGGGAGGTCAGGCGTTCTTTCCTTCCCTCCCTGCCCGGTGGTTCCTCACTCTTGCGACCCTCAGGGACCGGCGAACAGCACCTTCTGAAGAAGCCAAGGTAAGGAGCCCCCTCTCAGATCCTAGTCCTGGCTCTGGATGATTGCATACACAGAAGGGACGGCAGGTTGCAGCCCAAGTAAGCTTAGGCAAATACAAGTGTTGGTGCTCTTAGGGTGCGGTATTCCGCGTGTGCATGTCTGCCTGGACTCTCGCCTGGGGCTGCATTAAAAGTATTTTCAAGGTGAGCTGCTTGGGGACGGGGTGAATGGGAACGATGCAGTTGAAGCACTAGGAAGGAAGAGCAGGGGTATGTGAGGAATAATAACTTACTCTTTTGAAACATCCGTGGGACCCTCGCTCTTCCGTCTTGCGACGCGGTTTTCGGAGATATTTAGGTTATTGGGGTTGTTGTTGTTGTTGTGTAGACAAAAAAAAAACAAACAAACAAAGCAAAAGGCGATCCTGTCGTTTGTTCTAACCCTATGTTTATGACTGTTATCTTCAGGGCGCTGCTGTTCAAAGGAGAATTAAGAACTCAGGGTGTGGGCGCTGGGGAGGCGAAAAGAAAAGGGGGAGTTACCGCTCCGGGAAAGCTGAGCAGAGCTGTGGCAGCTACAGCAGCCTCCATGCCCCCATGGACTTGATTTATGCCGCCTGCTCCACGTCAGCTACAAGCGGGTGGGTGGTGCTGAGTGGGAGGGCTCGGGGAAGGGCTGGCGCGGTGGGCTCCCCTGGGGGGACTGCAGCGGCCAGAGATCAGCACCCTGGACAGGCATGCCCGAAGCACGCGTCCGCACCTTGGTCTTTCAGCACCGAGGACAGCGACCCGACTGCAGCTCCGCATTTACCTGCGGCAAAGCTGCCTGGCCAGAGCTGGAGGCCAATTTTTTTTTTTTTTTTTTTTTTTTTTTCCTCTGAGATCCAGATTCTACAGAAACTCTTAATGGAGCTAAGAAAAAAACAGATTAAAAGACAAATAAATAAATAAATTCTTCCCATAGAAATATGTTTTCAGGCAATCGCCTGCTCCCCTCCTAACCTCCCACATAGCTTTAAAAAATAACAGACTACTTGGGGAAGTCTTCCGTGTTGACCCCAGCTCCTTCTTTTAGACAGAAAATAAACACATTTAAAAAAAAATAGTCACTTACCCTCCACTACACCAAGAAGGTTGTTTGTTTTTGTCCTTAACACAGAGTAGATCTGTCGGCAGATATTAATGTATAGGAATGAGTGCATTTGATGATGCCAATACCATCTGTTTATAAGAAAGACAGGACATTCATACATTTTTATTTTTAAAAAAACTTGGATTATTTAAACTTAGAAAAATCAAATTTAAGAATGAATTTTTCTCCCCATCCATAAAATTACATATAAATACGCATACACAGCCACGAAAAAATTAACCTCTTTGGCCATGGGTTGAGTTAGTCTATTTCCTGTCAACGATGGTATTGCTTTTGATTTCACATTGAGGGTGACCTGTCTGGGGAGAATCCAGTCGTGTCCTTCAGGGTACTGTAGGTGAAAAGACCACGGTGCTAGGCTGAAACAGGATTCTGACCCCAAGATCTACTGGAATTTGTATCATGGAACTGCGGGATTTCACTAATGTCCTGATAACTGTTTTCCTCTCTGAGGCTTAGAGATTCTGGTTGAGCAAAGTCATCACAGACATGTATATATATGGTCAAAAAATTAGCAGGATGAAAATTTTATGATTTCAGCAGTTGATAAAGCACAGTATCCGTGTCATATGTAAGACTATATACAATGCATTAAAGAAGTGCAACATGACCCCTTTTAAAGACCCCAAATAAGGTCTTGAATTAGTCATAACTCCAATCATCTCTATACTAGAGACACTAAAATCTTCTGTTCACATAAGAGGGTGATTTAATTCCCTACCATTTTTTCCTTTTATGCATAGCCAGGAGTTTTCATATATATACAAAATATGTCATTATATTATTGTGTGCAGATGTAAAATTACTTGGGTGGAAATTTATTCAAGAGTTTGTAGTTTCATGGGAATTTATAACACTGCAATATCCATATATAATAAACAACTATATTTTGGTGATAGAAGGTGGAGGACAAAATATAAGCAGGAGTCTTTTTAAATGCTTTAACTTTATAGTGCACATCCAAATAGCTCTGCGTAGTTGCATCAAATAAAAAAAAGCCAAATGCTCCTGGAACTATATGCTTGAATGTCAGTGATTACTGCTGGTTTTGTTTGCTAGTGGAAGGCTGGCAGAAGAGGGGTATAGGACTGCAGTAAAACGGCAAAGGGTGAAGAGCCAGGAGGAGGAGGCAATGTGCAAAATCATAGTTAAATCTATAATAGTTTACTTAAAAATAAAGGAAAGCATAAATGGATCATGGATTTAACATTTATGTTATTGACAGGCTTCAGAAGGAAAAGAAAGAGATTTTCTATTTTAAGTTTGAAATTTGCAAATCCAGGACAATGTGGTGAAAGAGGCAGGGGCAGATGGGCATAAGGACAAGCCAGGAAATATTACCTCAGACCCTGGATGGCACGTGCTTGTTTCTTCATCACTGTTTTGTGCATTACCACCTGGGCATTCCCAGCACAAAATTATTCACAGTCTCTATAATCTGTTCATGGCAAAATCTCCCAAGAAGTCAGAATTTTGTTTTTACTGTTATATATGCACAGTTCCTAGGCAAACTGCCCCTTAATTTCTCAGAAGGTATTCCTGAACTCTAAATATTAGCCCCAGGGTGAGGGCTATCAAGAGGACAATTGATTTCTCCTCCAGTGGCACTCAGTAGCTGCGTAGCAGGTAGCCTTCAGCAGGGCATATTGGTTTTGACAATTAGTAGAAAAAAAAAAACAATTTGATCAAGAATTTGAAAGAGAAAGGGAAGAGGAAAAACCAGAATTTTTAAATATTTAAATGATACACTATTTTTCTCACATTATGGGGTTGCTTTACAATTCTACAAGGGTAGGAAAAGTCATGTTTTTGGCCTCAGCCCTGGATGTATTTCTGCAATGTCATCCCTTGCCAGCAGGCACCAACTTAATAGGAAGGTATCGATCAATCAGGAAGCACAAGATACATAAATTAACACTATGGGGGTACTGAACCTCATGGTTATATGGTCTTTGACCTCAATAAGTTTGGCATCTAGAGATCTTAATGAAAACGTAAGGAATAAAACAACAAATATTGCTGGAATAAAGATGAAGTAAAACAGCAGAAAACAATCATCAGAGTATAAGTAATTAATTTCCAAATGAACGTGAACAATAATAAGGACTATGATTTCAGAGGAGGGCAATACCAAAACGGACATGATGGCTTTTGGAGGTTAGAAAGAAGTTGTGGAGGTCTGCTTAGTAATTAAAAAAATAATAATAATACAACAAACCTAAGCAGAAATTCAAGTTATGCAAGCCAAGCTATCTTTGGTTAGCAAATTCTGAAAATGCCCATCCATTTACAGAGAGTTTAAGGCTTCAGAGAGAATTTGCTAGAATGGAATTAGAGCCTTCTATAGAATGCTTTGAATGCCAAGCTTAGAATTTGATATGTTATATTCCAAAGGTGATTTCTGAGCAGAAACTGATATAGCAAAGCAACCAGGCCCTGTTAATATCCAGGAATTTCTGTTGACAGAGTAGGTTTAATTTGTGCTCAGAAGTGGAGGGGAGCAAATTGGCATTATCAGAGATGATTAATTTTCCAGGCAATCAGTCTGGATTTAAACATCATTTACGATCGCTCTTCAGGATATGTGTACCTACATGGACAGGGAGGTCCTGTCCAGAAGCGAGCTGTAGGTCCCGTTTTCCATAATTAACCATAACAAATTATTTGAGATAAGCATGTGCCAGGTAGATTAAAAAACAGGTTAGGTATTGGGATGGGAGGTTCCAGAAGGTACATTTGAATAAAAAACATGGTGCAGGACTCTCTTTCACATCCTCTGAGTATTCTGCCTTGTCAAATGCACTGAATGGATGGGTGAAGAAAAGACGTCCATTCTTTGGAACATGTTACTGGCTGCAGGGCAAACAGAACCAGCTCCTTGACTAAAACTGGGGGTGGAGGAGATGTTATGGTAATGTGTCATAAAGCTTGGGTGTGCTGAGGTAAACTGCATATATGACCTCCAAGCTCACTACCCAGGGAAAATGTAGAGGAGGTGTCACTTAAGCGTTTCGAGGTTGGGCTGGTGGTTGTCAAACGGTCCAGAGGGACTTCCTCAAGTAAAGAGAAAGGAGCAAACAATGCACAGCAACAAGGAAGCAGGGCACGGTGAGTGGAGAAAGCACCAAAGAAGTGAAATTAAAAGAAATGAGCTTTACAGGCAGAAAAAGACTTCAGAATTGCTCTTGTTGCCATAACAAAATGTTTTTTTTTCCTATATAATTATCTTCACCAAGATCTCTTGTACTTCTCTGATTTTTAAATGAAGGATGCAGTCCACCATCAGATGTGATCAGATAAAATATTAACATTTAGTAAGCCATAAATCTAATTTAGGACAGAAATAGCCAAAGCAGAGGTAAAGCAGAAAGCCCGTGAGGGGAAGCATATGCCCCTCTGCTGCCCGCTCGCTGAAGGTTGGTTTACAACTTTGTTGTCAAGCCACTCTTATCTCACAGACGATGTAGTTAAAGCGGATCCAGGTGTCACAGAGAAGAACTGGGATTAAATATAGTCGGTTTGACTACAGAGGCCAACCAATTAACTGTATCACTTTTTCTACTGGCCCAAATGAAAATACATTGGCTGACTGATTGATATTGATTCATTGATTATAGTGTTGAGTCTTGAACCCAAGACTTGAGCATGCTAGGCTAGTGCTCAACCATTGAGGTATATCCCAGGCTTTTGCATGGTTTTTTGCATCTTTTCCTCCTCATTTGGGCAATAAGGCATGCCTGTGAGGATGCTGGGTAGGAGCCAGGGCCCCAGTGTGGTCCTGAAACAAGTGCTTGTAATTCTGTGTCTTGGAATCATGGTCTTATACTAAGCCACTCAAGCACTGTTAAACTTGGTTTCTTCATCCACA